CATAAAATTATTTTCGTTGCTGCTTCATCACTGTCATTTTGCTACTGTGATGAATCGGGCAACCCCTGTGAAAGGATTGTTCAACTCCCAAAGGGGTCATGACCCACAGGTTAGAACCGCTGTGAGTGAAGGGAGCCAAAATCTCAACCCACTTCCCTCCCCATCGACTCTGGCTCACGGCGCCCCTACAGGACAGGGTGGAACTGCACCTGTGTGGGTTTCCTAGGCTGTAAATCTTGATGAGAGCAGGCAGCCTCATCTTTGTGCCAAGGAGTTGCTGGTAGGTTTGAACCACCACCTTTGAGGTTATCAGTTAATGCTTCACCCGCTCTGCCACCAGGGCTTCCTGTATGGTCTGTAAAGTTGGCTGTCTTTTATGAACCCACTGTGCTGGCAGCCTGGAGCTGGGTCTCCTCCTTAATCTTAAGGAGGAACAGGGCTGCCAAGGCCAGTCTTTCCCCGGTGGAATGGCTGGTGGTTTGAACGGCCGGCATTTAGTTAGCAGCGCAGCGCGTAACCAGTTGAGGGACTGGGCGGTCTCCAGTGGCATGCAGCAGGACTCTGGCCTCAGCCCTGTCCTGGCCACCATGTTTATCAGCAACTTGAATGAGGACTCAGCTGGCTGTTCCCTGTCCCTTCCCAGCAGAGCCCCCACTCAGCCGCCACTCATTCCTGGCTACTGAGGTGCAGGTGCAGGTAGGTGCAGGTGCTCACCTGGGATTCTAACCTCAGCTCACCTGGGCACTGCTGTCTCAGATTTCCCTGAGGGAGGGGCCTGCGCCCAGCTTGACTCGGAGAGGAGAAATTCCCTGGGTGGAGCAGAAAGAGCCCTGAGCCCTCTGGTGGCATTTCTGAACAGTGGCAACAACAGACAGGGACTTGAAGCCCCCTGCCTGGAGGCGGACCACTCCCAGGTGCAGGATGAGCAAAGCAGCTAGAGCCCAGCCACCCTGAGGACTGTCCAGTCCCCAAGGCCCCAAGTGGGTGGAGGTGTGGTCTTGAGGTCACATGGAGGGGCGGGGAGGGGCTGCCCACCCCTCTCAGAGGCTGGTGTCTCCACAGGTCTACGACCGCCTGGATCGCTATTGCTGTGGCTTTGAGCCCGAGCCCTGGGAGCCCTGCCTGGAAGAGAGGCTGCGGGAGAAGTGCCGGAACCCGGCCGAGCTGCGCCTGGTTCACATCCTGGTATGGCCCCTCCTCAGCCCAGCCAGTCGAACGGGCGGTCAGTGAGCTTCAGAGAATCACCTGGTGCTGGGGGCTCCCGATCTGTTCCCCTGAGTAAATGTTTCCACTCTGAACCTGAGAGGAGCGGGGCTTGGAGGTGAGGTCAAGGATGGGAGCCAGGAGCCCCATTTTCACAATCTCCCTGTGTCCCCCACCCCAAGAGACTCCAGGGCACCCTCAGGTTTCCAGGAGTCAAGGATTGACAGATGTTAGCCCGGTGACACTTCACTGTGCAGGCAGGTGAGGGAATTGTGGCCTGGGGTTGGGAGGAGAGGAGATCTCACGACCAGGGGCTGGCTGGTGGCAGCATCAGAGCTCCCACCTAAGACCCTAGTGGCCTCCAGGCCAACGCTGACCAGAGGCACGGGGACCAGGTCCCGTGAGGACCAGGCCAGACCACAGGCCACTAGAGGAGCCAGCAAGGTGCTGCCAGTTGGTCACTCTCCTGCACAAGAGGCAGAGTGCCGCCCTGGGGAGGCCTCTCCAGCATCCCCTTCCCCTGAGCCCTGGTGTCCGGCAGCCCCACCTCAGCCAGGTGCTCTTGGAGCCAGCGGATGGGAGGGTTTCAAGGGTCCTTTCCGCGCCCCACCCCTGGGTCATCACTTCTTTTCCTGGGGGAGGAGAGCGTCCATATCCCCCACAGCCCAGCGAGGCTGACCCTTTGGGACAGTTGTTCTCAGAGGGAAGAGTCTGCCAGCCTTTGGGAAAAAAAACAAAAGGTAATTGTGAGGAAGGGGTTGGGGGCGGGCTGTGGAGGGAGAAGAAGCAGAGCAGGGGAACCTGGGGGCTGGGGACGAGCCACCTCATCGTTTAAGTCTTGGCCCCCAGAGAGGATTCCAGGAAATTAGTGTGGAGGTTTGGAGACTGGGGCAGGGGGCGTTGAAACAGAGGGTCTCAGATCCCCGGCCCCACGGAATACTGCGTTGAAGGTGCCACAGAGCTCCCATGCTTGGTTTGCAAAGGTCCAGCCAGCGAGAGCCTAACTCATCCCCTGTGGAAGCAGAGCAGGGTCAGCAGTGGCCGGCAGGAAGGTCGTTGACGCTACCTGTGATTCTGGGGGAATACCCAGGTGTGCAGGCACAATGACGTTCAGATCTCGAGCATGTGTGTGCGCATGTATGTGACCATGCTTGTGTATCTGCATGAGCATGTACGATTACACATGCACATCTGTGTGAGCACGTGTGTGACTACGCATGTGCATCTGTGTGTGAGCGTGTGACTATGCATGTGCATCTGTGTGAGCATGTGTGTGACTGCATGCACATATGGGTGTGTATGAACATGGGTGTGCGCATGTATGGTTATGCATGTGCGTGTGTGCGCGTGTGTGTGTGTGTGCGTGTGTCTGCACTGGCAGAGTCTTGCCCGAGCTCCTCATCCTTCAGCCACCAGCTGTGGGACATGGAGAGGTGATGGTTTTCTCAGCAGTGCCCAGGTGTCACACTTAACAGCATGCTGCTGGGGCCTAGAGTGATGGCCCAGCTTGGAAGCCAGCCAGTTCTTGATTAGTGAGGTGAGCTGGGGCCTCCCTTCCGATCAATCAGGGTGAATACTAGTGCCCACTCTGAAAGCAGCTGCACTGAGAAGACACCTGGGGCATAGGTCCAGCACCTAGCTCCTTGAGATCTTCTCAGCTGCAGCAGGGTGGATGGTGGGAGGGACAGCCTAGGGCCCCTCCTGAGTCCGCAGGTGCCGGCTCTGCTCCACCTTTACCTGCCTCTGCCTTCTTCCCCCCAGGTCCGGAGCAGCGCGTCGTCTCAGCTGGTCTACATTGACAATGCCGGGAACCTGCAGCGTCCAGAGGACAGGCTGAACTTCCGGCTGCTGGAGGGCATAGATGGGTGAGGCTCAGAGGCCAGGAGAGGGGAGTCCATTGCACATACGCTGTCAGAACAGAGTTTCCGCAGGGGGTGGGGAGCCTCTGGAAGCAGCCATTAGCCCCGAAACCCTGGGAGGGGTGCTCTAGCAGCCACAATGCAGGGCTCCCCCTTGCCCCACAGAACCCCGGGCCTGAAATGGACCGCCCTTCCCTTGCCCTGGATGGGAGAGCTAGCCCGAGACCCATGTCTACTTACTCCCTGCAGGCAGTGGGGGTGCCGCGGGCTCTCCTGGCCCTGTCTTTGCCACACGGAGTGGTGGGCATTGTGCTGGGCACCAGATTAATCCCCCTGCTTCTCCCAGGGGTGTGGGCCCTTCTGAAAGCCCCCAGCCCCTGCTTTCACCGCCTAAGCCAAGTAGGCGACAGGTCTATCTCTGCAAGCCCAGTAGCAGGCCTGGCCCAGGGGACTTTGCGGGGCTGGCCAGCTGTGACAGTCCTGGGCAGCGGGCTTCGTCTGTCTCTGACATGCTCAGCTGACCTCTGCTCCGTCTGTCTGGGGTGCCATGGGGGCCGTTCCTCCAGGTTTCCCGAGACCGCTGTGAAGGTGCTGGCCTCAGGGTGTCTGTCAAGCCTGCTGCTCAAGTCGCTGCGGGCAGACCCCGTGTTCTGGGAGAGCCAAGGCGGGGCCCCAGGCCTGAAGCGGGTTCTGCAGACCCTGGAGCGGCGGGGACAGGTCCTGCTGGCCCACATCCGGAAGCACAACCTGACGCTGCACCGGGACCAGGACCCCTGAGCGCCCGCTGCGCCGCCGCTGCCCAGCCGCTGAGCCCCCAGCCCTGATGCCCATCTTGGAGGAAGACGACGGGGAGGGGCAGAAGGCTGAGGGGGACCGTGCTGCCAGGGGGAGTGGGTGCTCCTACCTACCTGGAAACCCTGCCCTCAGTGCCTCTCAGCTGTACCTGCTGCCTCCCTGGAACCAATAAACGTGTCCTCGAATGTACTGTAAGCTGATACTGTGCAAGTGTGTGTTCCATGTGTATGTGCAGAGCTGGACGGCACGTGTGTGTGTGCGAGTCCTTCTGGTCAGTCCACCTCTGACCTTCCGAGGCCCACCACCTCTGAGCAGGGCTTGCTGGATGCCCACCTTCCCCCTCTCCCCACAGACCTCGCCCCTCCTCTTGCTTTCCTTTGCCACACCTGGTGACAGTGATGGTGCCAGGCTCCCCTGCAAGCTCAGCATGAACAGCCTCGGCTGGGGCGCCCGCTGCCCGCCGTCCATTTCCACACCACACTGCTGTGAGCACTAGAAGGATGATGGTCACCCTGGGGAAGGGCAGGCAAGCTGGGCACGCCCGGAGAGCGGGTTCCCTCTTCCGTGTGTGTGTGTGTGTGTGTGTGTGTGTGTGTGTGTGTGTACGGTTTCCTCTGCAGACACCCAGCCAGACTCCGTCCTGTCAGGGAGCAAGGCCCCAAGCTTCCACTCAGCTGCGTTGGGCCCCGAGGGGAGCAGGTCTGCATAGCACAGGAAAGGTAGACCTGGACAGGCACTTAGGGCTTCCCTCCCAGCCTGCCCAGCTCGGGGCCCATCTAGCCCTGCCTCACCCGCCCAGCAAAAGCACCACTTCCAAACAGCACCCCCAGACGGGGCTCTTCCTACCTCTAGCACAGCGGTTCCCAACCTTCCTCATGCCGCGACCCTTGAATACAGCTCCTCATGTGGTGGTGACGCCCAGCCAATGTTCTCTGGACAGCTCTGCTTAAATGTGGTGATATGAGCTTGTCTATATCGAAATGCTCTAAGGCAGCGGTTCTCAACCTGTGGGTCGTGACCCCTTTGGGGGTCAGACGCGCCTTTCACTATTTCAATATAGACGAGCTCCTATCACCCTGCCAATAGAGGGCTTTGCCTCGTCTTCACCGATTTAGGTGCCATTTATTTCCCTTTCTTGCCTTATTACTTCGGCTGGTGCTTCCACTAGAACCTTCCACAGGCGTGGCGTTGGGGGCAGCCCGGTCAGACCCCGTTCACAAGGGGACTGTCTTTCTCCCTGGAGCTACACCTTTCATCAGACGACTGCATTTTCTTTCTAATCTTTATTTTAAAAAATGCTCCTCAGAACTGCTTTATCCAAGTAACTTCAGCAAGAAAGATGACTGAGCTCGAATGCAGGGGGCTGGTCAGATCTGAGCTGGACGCCCGGTGCCGCGGGAAGATTCTTAGGGAACACCTTCTGTAATGAAGGCTGACATCTACAGAGGACCGACTGTGTCCTGGCCTGTGAGACAGGCTCGCACAGATGACAGACATGTGACCTCGTTCACAGCCGGGCGGGCCCATGCGCGGCCGTTGATCTTCCACCGCGGGCGGTTTCCCTGGCTTGTGCTCCTGAGTAAATCGCCAGGCCTTTCTTCCTGGTCTGCCTCAGTCTGGAAGCTGCGCTGAAACCTGCCCAGTGTCACAGTCACACGCTAGCCTCCACGGACGGTGGGTGCCACGCGTGGGCTGCATTGGCTGGTGACTGAACTCAGGCCTCCGGCAAGGCGGAGAGCCACCTACCATCAACCCACCACTGTTTCTGCCTTCCGGGTTCCCCGGCACCCCCTGCACGGAGTCCCTCCTGACTCACAGACCCCGTAGGACAGAGCAGATCCACCCCAGGGGTTTCCTGAGACGGGAACTTCACAGAAGCAGGCAGCCTCATCTTTCTCCCATGGAGTGGGGGCTGGATTCAAACTGTTGACCTGGTGGTTAGCAGCCCGGTGATTAACACTCCACCCGGATGGCTCCTTGGCCTGATGCGTAGGTCTGGTTGGCATCTCCATTCTGCAGAGGGCTTCAGTGATGCGCCCACTGCCCCCCAGCTCGTGGGAGAAGGCCTCATTTCAGTCCTCCGTGGGAATTGCGAGAGCTAATCTCCACTCTGGGACCACCGTGGAAAGACCCTCCCCACGCTGCCCTGGCCGCTCCTGGTCTCGACTCTCCGTCCAAGCGCTTTTCAGACGTACCTGGCGCCCTGCCCTGGCTCCTTGCCGCTGGTTAAGTCTGCTCAGGCTAGTAACTGCGTCTTTATTGCAAACTCGTAACTCGATCCACTTTTTATCCATTAAAAGCAGCAGCCCAGACCCTTGCAGCCTCTTTGCTGGCTGCTCGCCCTCCGCCCTTCCCAGCCGCCTGCTGGAATGAGAATCACCTGCCAAGGGAAGCAAACAGCTGGAGTCTGCGTCCTCGTCCTCGCTGCAGCATCTGCTCAGCTTCAGAGAGAAGCGGCCGCGGGGGGGCTCTGCCAGGGCAGCCAGTCCCCAGCCCCCATGCCCAGGCCTGCTTTTCTGGCACGTCGCCCGAAGCGGGCAATGCCGAGGGAAATGATACTGTTGCCAGGTGGAGGGGCGGGTGGTGGGAATGCAGGTGCAAACCCAGCGACCTGGCAGTGTCATCTGTTGGGTGCCCACACGCATGTCCCATGCTGGGGAAACGCGCTTCATTGCAGAAATACCGGTATGTTTGCTCATTGGTTGTGACCTCTGGAAAGGTCGAGGTCTGACTCACAGCTGGCCTTGAGGGGCTGCGTATGGAGCTGTGGGCCTGAAAGGATCTTATTCCGTGCGGCTAAGGGGGTCACGCTGACAACAGCCCGAGAGAGTCACTGTGGGCTCACTCCAGAGACGGGGTGAGGCTGGGAACAGGCGGTGCCTAGATGTCACACACAGCTCATGGGTGTACCCTGGGACTCAGCTAGGGTTCTGTTTTAACTCCAGGGACCCTGAGGTCTTGGGCTTCAGAAGTTAGGGATGGAAACTCCAGGATCCTGGGGAGGCCCTGGCCTGTGGGGGAACCTTGGAGACACACAGCGGAAGGGCTCGGAGGGACCCTGGAGCCAGAGGGGTTGTCCCTGCAGCCATTCCTGAAGTTAGTTTGTGAGACAGCCCCTCCCCACTCTCGTGGTTGTGTGTGTGTGTGTGTGTGTGTGTGTGTTTGGTGGGTTTGGTGGTGGTTGTGACACCTGCTGAGGTTCCTCAAGGTGGAACCTGGGCCCTCCTGACTCGGCCCAAACCCATTCTATTCTGGGCACAAGGATGCTGAGATCCAGAGAAAGGTTCTGATCAAGAATGACCAGGACAATGGCCCTTCCCCTGGGCCCTGGTGGGATGACTGTGATGTTACTCCTCCGGCATGGACCCTGCCTGGGGTTTGCAGGGGAGCTGGAGGTCGGATGGAGTTCCCCGAGTGAGTGGCATGGGGTCTTGGGGTTAGAAGGATACAAGGTGATCCTCTTGGCCATTCATCCCTGCCACTGGTCCAGAGGGATGAGAAGCTGGTTCACGTACCTTCTCCCTGGCACGAAGCTGAGCTGATCCCTGCTGTCCTAGAGACCAGAGCGGGCACTGGACACGGGGCTTGTAGCTGCCCGCCCTTCATCTCTCCCCTTCCCTGTCCCTGCTATTCTTGTGTCCAAGCAATGCTGATCTGAAGACACCAGGAGCATTGTGGGTGACACTCAGTGTGCGACCAGAGAACACACTGGATGGCAGAAGGGCTCTGTGCCCACCCAATCCCGGCAGGTGGTGTCGCCAGAGCAGGAATCCAGGCAGATGGTGCCAGTAGACCTGAGACTGCTCCACTCAACCCCTACTACCTTTGGGAGCCTCTACTCTAAAAGCCAGAGTGATTCTCCAGGGTACCTGCTTTTGCCCCATGGCTCTGTTTGATGCCCATGAATCAAAGCCTCGCTGTGCGATCAGTGTTTAAGAACAGAGTCAACGCTGAAACCGCGTGTGCACAACCAGACTGACTCCTCCTGGGGCCTGGCTCCTGGCCTTGTTCCACAGGACATCCCAGGTCATGGACCAAATGACATGTTTAGGGCTGCAGTTTGACTTCCTCGGATCCTGCTTCGTGCCGGGGGTGGGGGTGGGGTGGGGTGGGGTGTGTGTGTGTGTGTGTGTGTGTGTGTGCGCGCGCGCGCTTAAAAGCCTGCAAGCAGCCATCCCGGGCACCACGATTGGTCTCTGCACCCCTGGACCAGCAGAGGAAGGGAGTCAGGAATGGAAGGATATGGAATGCATGGTTAATGGTACCAGAGCCACCATTCCCGAACATTTTGATAAAAAATGTCATCAATGGATCTTGATCAACAGTAAGGGGGTAGGGAAGAAGGCAGAAATGAATTTCAAATCCAGCCTTTCCGAAGCCCCGGGGACAGAACGCACCTCTGAAGCGGCTGCCCCACGATCATCTTTACACCTTACAATAAAAATACCCAGGATGATCGCCTTGGGCATGGTGCTCTTTAAAGAACCGTAGGCTCCACTGGTCACCAGACACTCAAAAGAGCAGACAGGAAGCTTCAGGGGCAGGGGCTCCAGGTCAACGAGGGAGGGCCATGTGGATGAGGAGGGCAAGAAGACCCTCACAACCCCAAAAGTCATTTGTGTCACTGAACCGGGTTGGTGCATGTTTAGCTGTGTATATTCTCAACAACAAAAACAGATGGATAAAAGACATTAGTGGGGCCTCTGTCACTCACCCAGTGGTGGTCCAGGCACAAGGCAGGCTGAGAGAGAGGGTTTCCATCTCTGTGAAGGGGGGAGTGCCCAGTGACAGGGCACCCAGAGGGACCAGGAGGCCCAATAGCTCAAGGAATGCCCACACAGAAAGATCTGACTATGAGGTCCCATAGGCTCTTGGCATTTGGGGGCAATGGTATCCACCACCTCTGGGTCTCTGGACCCCATATTTAATTTTCAGGTGTTTGCTGACATGTGTCCCGACTGACTGCCATCTATCTCCACACACTCATTTCCCAGGAGCCATCTGTTGAAAATAATCAAAGCACCGAAATGTGAAAGGAAGGTTTCTTC